GCTGTGTCTTGTCCTGTGATTACCCCTCTTTGTATTTAGTCTTGTCTTCCCCTGTGCTCCTTGTCGGTTCATTGTCTTTCCTGTCTCCCTCCATGTTGATCACGGTCAGTTTTGGTGTTGTTGCTACCTTGTGCTACCTATGTGTTTCATGCCATGTTTTTGTTCATCAGCTTTTAAAAATAAAGCTCGCTTTTTGTTTCTAGACCTTTTTACCTTTTCTTTTTGTAGTCTGCATTTGGGTCCTACCTTTTTCCACGATACCTGTCAAAAGGAAGTTTTTCCATTAATTGGCACTAATTTATTAACTATTATGAATATGTCTTTATTATCAGGCTATGTTCCACAATCGTTCAAAGTAGCAGTGATAAAACCGCTTCTTAAAAAGCACAACCTCGATCCAGAGGTTTTAGCCAACTAGAGACCTATTTATAATCTTCCGTTCCTCTCAAAAATTATTGAGAAAGCAGTCGCAAAACAGTTGTGTGATTACTTAAAAAACAATGATTTATTTGAAGATTTTCAGTCTGGCTTTAGAGCACATCATAGCACAGACAGCTCTGGTTAAAGTCACAAATTACCTTCTAATAGCCTCAGACAAAGGACTTGTCTCTATTCTTGTCTTGCTCGATCTCAGTGCTGCATTTGATACTATCGACCATGATATCCTATTGCAAAGACTACTAGAGCACTTAGTTGGCATAAAGGGAACTGCATTAGGCTGGTGTAGGTCCTATCTATCTGAACGCTCTCAGTTTGTATGTGTCAACGATGAATCTTCCATGCAAACCAAAGTTAGCCATGGAGTGCCACAGGGCTCAGTGCTTGGACCTATTTTGTTCACATTATATATGCTTCCGTTAGGCAATATTATAAGGAATTATTCTGTACATTTTCATTGTTATGCGGATGATACTCATATTTATCAATCAAGCCTGGTGAAATTAATCATTAAATACAATTCAAGACTGCCTTAAGGACTTAAAAACGTGGATGACTTTAAACTTTTTGATGTTAAATACGGACAAAACTGAAGTTATTGTACTCGGCCCAAAGAATCTACGAAACAAATTATTTAAAGATATACTAACTATGGATGGCATTAATTTGGCCTCTAGTGAGACTGTAAGGAATCTTGGTGTTATATTTGATCAGGATTTATCCTAACGCCCACATAAAATCAATTTCAAGGACCGCCTACTTCTATCTATGTAACGTTGCAAAAATCAGGCATATTTTGCCTCAAAACGAGAAACTAGTCCATGCATTTGTTACTTCAAGGCTGGATTATTGTAACTCCTTATCAGGGTGTACCAAGAAGTCAGTTAAGTCGCTTCAGCTGATTAAAAATGCTGCAGCTCGTGTACTAACCAGAGTTAGGAAAAGGGACCACATTACTCCTGTTCTGCCTTACACTGGCTCCCTATAGAACACAGGATATAATTTAAAATGATTCTTCTCACCTACAAAGCCCTTAATGGGCAGGCGCCATCTTACCTTAAATAACTAATTATACCCTACTGTCCTAATGCAGGGTTGTTGGTTGTTCCTATAGAGTCTCTAAAAGTACAATGGGAGCCAAAGCCTTTTCTTATCAAGCTCCACATTTGTGGAATCAGCTTCCAGTTTGTGTTCGGGCGGCAGACACCCTATCCATTTTTTAAGAGTGCGCTTAAGACCTTCCTTTTTGAGAAAGCTTATAGTTAGGGCTGATTAGATTGAGCTCCTATAGTTTTGCTGATGTAGGCTTAGTTTGTCGGGGGACATCTTACTTCTTCCTTCTCTCTGTCTGTACCTGTGTACTCTCATGTTCCGAATAACCCAGCTTCCCCAAATTTCTTTTTGGTGTCTATATACGCCGGGATCCGGAGTCATGGCTGATCCTGTTGCTGTGGTCCTGAGTCCTGGATGGTGAGCCCTGGATCTTGAGTCATGGCTGATCCTGTTGCTGTGGTCCTGAGTCCTGGATGGTGAGCCCTGGATCTTGAGTCGTGGCTGGGCCTGTTGCTGTGGTCCTGGATCATGAGTCCTGGATGGATATCCTCGTGGATTCATCTTCTTATTATAGACATGCATTTCCAAACATTTGGACTATATATTGTAAATGTATTATCTTTTCGATTTACACACGGCATCTATTGCACGTCTGTCCGTCCTGGGAGAGGGATCTCTCCTCTGTTGCTCTCCCTGAGGTTTCTCCCATTTTTATCTTTTAAACTGTGGGGTTTTTCCTTTTTTTTATGTTTTTCCTTGTACGATGTGAGGGTCTAAGGACAGAGGGTGTCGTATTGTCATACTGATATTCTGTACAAACTGTGAAGTCCACTGAGACAAATGTAACATTTGTGATATTGGGCTATATAAATAAACATTGATTGATTGACTTATGCATAAGGGTTAACACAAATTAGACTATGGAGCTTTGAAAAGAAGAAATAACAACTCTTCTAACCAGATGCTGAATTGTAACTTAACTAAATGCTAAACCGCAATAGATAGTTTTGTCATTATCCCATTACTTTCTATAAAGGCTGCAGTGTCACATTTGTTCATAAAAAGTTGTTCAGTCTAGCTTTAAAGGGGAAATCCATTCTCCAAATGTATAAACAAGGCTCAATTTGTGTCCTTGGGATGATGTCAGACCATTGATGCATTTCAGTGAGACAACTTACGTTTGTAATGTTTATTAGAAGCAGCATTTAGTTTGAATTTGTTATCGAGGTTCGGGCCTCATCACTCCACAAATGTACATAGAACATTGAGTGATGATTAAATAACAATCCCATGGAGCCTACAGGAGGACGCAGGGCCAGAAGCTAAGGTGGTGGGGCAGGTGCACAGCAGCGAGGTTGTAAGAGGGGCAGGGCGCTTTAAGTGTAAATGTGTCATTTGTGCAGTTGACAGTCACAGTCTTTCTGCTTCCCTTTCCATTACAGCATTTAACACCACAAAGACACTGACTTTTTCCTCTATTGCTCTCAAGTGGCCAAAAAATGAACAACAAATATTTGTACAGATTCAAACCACAAACAGGATTTATTCTTATCAATACATTTTGAAATTGGAACCTGAATTGTAGTTTTCTCAAGCATATATAAATGGAAATCATATATCTGATGTTATTTGATTAACATTTGTTGGTGCAAGTTTATGTTACATGAAGATTACTAATACAAAACATAAAGTACTTTTTAAAGCTTCAAACCACAAACCTGCTTTATTCTCAGGAATGCACTTGCAGTTGATGAACTTCTGAACATGGCAAGTGAAACAATATATTATGATTGATAGCAATTTAATAAATGAAGTTGCAATAGTGGCAGTAGCGTGGAGAGGGAAACATTGATATTAAATGTGAATGATTATTTAAATTATGATTATATAATAAAGGTATAAATGTAATGTGATGTTTGACATTAATGTCTTTATGATCAGATATGTGAAAAACATCTATACAGTAATACTTGGCCTGGTTATGATCTTGATGTAGCAAAGATTATTATACTTAACATGTATATAATTGTTGTGGTGAAAGGTGAGGGGTGACAGTTTGATATGAGTCTTACCCCATGTAGATAAAAAAAAATAGTAATATATATATTTAAAGGATTGTTTCCATTAATTTATTTTATTTATTGGTTTATATATTGTTTGTTATTCCTGTTTTTATTAGTTTTTGAATTTAATTATTCACTTGAATTTAATTAACTATAATTGTCATTTCTTTTTAATTATGTATTTTTTCAGTATCTTGTTAATTTTTTTGAAAGCCAATACAAAATATAGTTACAAAGAAAAATGCACACTTTTATATGTTTTCATTCATTTAAGTTTGAGATCGTATTCAATCGAATTACCTGTGTCAATATATAACATTCATGGAAATGAAGGTTGTTAAAAGGACTTCTTTACACACACATAAGTGTACATTCATGTCTTTATTGTGGTCCAAAGCATGTTAACAGAGTAACAGTTTTACAGTGACCTGGTTCAATCAGACATTATGTAACATCTCAGTTGCTAAACACAAGCTATGCGAGATGCACAAACTGAGGAATAAGTATTAGAAACATGGGACATCATTCCATTTGTTAGCAGAACCAAAGTTGATTAGGCCACAGTCTTCCCTTCGTCGATGGTTGTTTGGCTCTCCTGAACTCCATGAGAAGAATTTGGCTGCACACCCATCCACGTTCCTTCTTTGTGGATGTCACTGAGTCCGATCCAGGCAGATCCCTGAGCAGGGTCAAAGTTTTTGATCAGTGTTTTGACAAAATGATCTTCCTCCTGACTGCGGATAGACACCAGGTTGCCTCCCTGTGAAACGCAGAGGAGTTCTGCATCAGCTCAGGTCAAACGTGTGGCGATGTACTTGTAGCAGCGGCCGTTGAAAATGGACCAGAATAGGGGACAGCTGTTTTGCTGTGGCTCCACTACTAGTTCTTCTGAAGGAGACACAGCACAGAGAGCCAGGCCCAACAGGAAGAGAAAAGCCTGCATGATGATGTCACCGTCTCTGTCTGTTAAAGTTGAACTGAACCATTGGATAGGATGGAGATCCTGTGACAAGTGACAGGCTGCTTCCTTTTATATGCATCAGAGATGGTGTTTTCACTGTTGGCCCAATATTATTGGTCACTGAATTTGGCAAACACTTTCTGTTGTGACTCATATGTTTGTTTGATGCCCAAAAGCAGATAAGAAACATAACAGGTACTTTTATATTCCAGCATTGTAGTCTTCTAAAAAATGCACTTGCCCATTTCTGAACCTCTGAACGTGGCACTTACAGTATGTCCCCTTAAAAATACATGAACAATATATTAAAAATACATTTAATGAATGAAAAGATGCTCTAAAATGGTATCTCTTTTCTGTCCTTTTGATTCATTATGATCTAAGCTTAGGAGTAGAAATAAAGATGAATACATTTTCAGTTTAAATGTTTGTGTATATGTTTGTCTATGGTTGTGTAATGTCGGGTATTCCAGAAAGACAAAGTCCCATCCGCAATTATTTACTGTGCAAAGTACAATCACAAAACATTGGTAAAGTTCACTTTGCAAACACTTTAAGTTTCACACAACTACAAAGAATATGAACATTACCCAACAAGGACCACAAGCTCACCTGGAGATGTCACATAAAACCTATGATTTATTCATTTCAGTCAAATGTTGAAGTAGTAAAACACTGCTTTAGAAAAGTCATGTGGCTTCAGCTGTAAGAAGGTTGCTGGGACACAAGGAGAGACATATTGCTTTCTGTCTGACTTTTCTTCTCATTTACAACTGAAAACTACATACCAAACATGGGCATATATTTACACATAAACAATATTACAGTAGTACAAAGCCTTCAATGTGTCCTTTCTTGAATTGTGAACTTTTTTATTTTAACATGCAAACAAGTTTTAAACAACATTGCTTTAAAAAAAAATTACTTCACAGAATGGCCGTTAAAACACTAAATACACCTTCCTGTTGGTTTCCTGTCCATTACAGCACCAGAGGAAAGAGAGGAGCGTGATCACAAAACACAACAGGTACATTAGAGCATTCAAACCTTAAACATATTTTCTTCTCAAAATGCTCTTGTACTTTGCTGAACCTCTGGCACCTGAACGTTTGTCACCTCAAAAATACATAAAACAATAAATAGGTAATATAACACAGTATTTCTGCTCTATGAACACAAAGAAAAGAGGAGTGTTTGTGCATGTGTGCGTCATGTACAGGTTTTTAGTATAAAATGACTACCACAAGGCCTCTCTATGACACTGAATATGAACAGACCCCAGCTCTAATTTATTAGATCTACAGAATCACTGACTTCACAAAATGCATCTTTCAAATGAGACTTTGTAACTCTTTTAAGAGAAGTAAAACACATTGTTGGTCTTATAAATAAAACGCTTAACAACTAATTGTCCAATTCAACAGTCCGGGTTTTGTTGCAGCTATAAGCCTCATTGTGGCTATTGTTGAAAAACTTTACGTCACTAAATATATATAACAAACAGTCAGTTTGCTGACTCATGACTCTTCCACATGTGCCACTGTTACAGAGGTTAGTCTTTAGCTAAATGCTAAATTGATTAACAACAGCTTAGCAACTAGCATCATCCCATACCTGCCTGAAGAAAGTGTCTGCAGCAAAAGCTACATAGTCTCACTTTAAAGAGGAAATCCACTCTCAGAATTTATGAATATTATCCTAATAATCTTGAATAGTTTGAGTAGATGTGTGGATATGAACAACTCCTGGAGAGGATCGATCTCAAGACTCAACACACACAACAGGTTGAGAGTCGTCAAACGAGTCTTTGCACAGAAAATGACTAAGCTTCTCAAAACACACACATTATATTTAGTGAGTCTTTACCTTAATCATCTCTGATCTTTATGAACCAAAGATGTTTTTGGCACTGAAACAGTTGGAAATCCCAGTCCACCGGTTAATTATGATCTGGAGGAGACACGCCCCTGTGCTCTGAAAGGCTTGGTGTTGAAATGATGATTAACACTAGTGGCAACAACATTTCTACTACTTCTACTATTGCACGTTACCGCCCGTGTTTTAAAAGTATCCAAACAATGCGATACATGCATCGCTAACATAACATTTAGGAATCTCGCCTTTGGATGTTTTCTCCTACTCAGCAGAAATGTAGCACTGATGTGACAGGCTAAGCGTTTTACAGACACAGGGCAGGGACAAAATAAACACAAAGACTTATTTATAGTTTGCCAGATGATGTTGTGGATCTAAAGCATGTCTCTTTGTACGAGTCATTGTAACTAATTTATCATTTCTAAATGATTCCCTTCATGCTGCTCCTCATTTCTTTTCAGGATGGTCCCTGTTTTTCACAAGTCGGGGCAATGTAAACAGGAATATATATTTAGGATCTGTTGGTTCAGAGAAGATACATTTTCAGTCCATACTAGTTAGTGGTTGCAAGGCAAAAATAAAGCTGTAAAACTCCTACCAGGCATATTTACTAAATCACACTTGTGCCTCCTTTATTCTTTCCACACCCTGTGTTTTCAGAGTTTACACAAGACTTCTGAATAATGTGGACATTTCAGTCAGTAAGAATAAAAAGTCAAAATCTCCTCATGTGCTTGGCTTATCGCTTGACATAATTTAACATAAGGATTTAAAAAGAGAAAAATATAGTAGGGCTGTTTGTCCTAATCCAAAACCACCACACAGACCCTGATATCAGTCATCATAATGTCAAAAATCATCTAGAAACATCTGGTCTGCTTTACATGATAACAGACCAATCGTTTGGGGGCTTAGTTAAGCAAATGACACTGTGGTGAAAACAAAAAAGACACTGATAATAGTGACCATAATAAACCAGGAACTCTGTGCTGCAGGACTTGATGTGACATTTGGCACTGAAAAAAGTATATAGGTCCATATTAAATACAATCTAAAATGATATGATCACACAACAACATCATAGAGAAGAGGGCATGAGGAGCAGTTGGCTTAAAGTGAACCAGGACTTTAAAATGAAAACAAGGAGAACAAAAAATGTCAAGATTTCACCAACAGTTTTGGAAGTCGGCCACGTTCATGAGAGCTTCAGTGGTTCCAAGGTCAGTCAGTCCCAAAGAAACCTTTTCTCCACATGCCAGACACTGTTCACTCACTGAGGCCGCTCGTGTTTTGTTAAAAGCCAGAGCCTTAGTGTAAAACAGGTAGAAGATGTTCTGTAGGTTTGTTTTAGTGTTGTACTCCTGCTTGTGTTACATACTATCCACACAATAGCAAAAATAAATATGCTCCACATCATACACCTAACAACTAAGGCAAGTATCCTGGATATACGTGCATCACCAGGCAGGTATGCGATATGAGGATGAAATATGAGACCATTAAGGTGGTAGATTGTGGCTAAAAGATTATAAACTTATCTTCATGGTTGGCTTTGTGTCTGATGAAGAGGCCGTCAAGTCCTTGATGACCTCCAGGGGATGGACGCGACTTCAAAGACAGAAATAAAGGAACATTCCAGCTGCTAAACAGGCTCATAAATAACCAAAAGCTCACCACAAAAACATATTCAGTCCAATAGATACTGTACAAACTACTTACAGCGTCCTCTTCTCTCTCTGAACTTTGGATACTTGCCAAACTGACAGTGTTTACAACTTAAATCCTTTGACCGTAAATCCTTTATAAACACATTTCACTATGTTATAAAGCCGTTTAAGAACGGTGCAGCTCTATGTCTTCATAGGTTGTTTTTTTTAGAACATGTGGCACCTTATTGTCCACTTGGCACCACTGCTGGTAGTCTGATCTCGTTGCAGTGTATGCCTGAGTGTTTGGCATTTTGCTGTACAAAGCGTCTTCCAAGCCACACGTTCCCGGTGCTAGCATTCCATCTTGCTGTGTCCGGTGTGTTGTGTTGGTGTCTTTGAAGGTACGTGCGTTTTGTGTGTCTTTAAGCACGCGGCTCTAGCTTGTGGGACAGCTCGAAAAGCGTCTGTTGATTGTCGATAATGTGCAGGTAGTGAACGCTCGCCCTCACGTCCGCACTGTCGACCCCGATAACCTCGTTGCCTAAGAGACACACAAAACACGCACATTCGTCACAATGAAGAGCTTTCTCTCTCTGCTGAAAGAACACACACATTTGGTACAAACACAGACTGTATTATGGCCATATGAAGAGAGAAAAGGACTGTCTGGGAATGGTTGCTTAGAAACTGCATAAGTTGCAGCACACTAACCCAGCTGCAGGTGGCAGTAGATACCTCCCAATGAAGGGATCTAAGCATCAATATTTCATCCAAAGTTAACAGAAGGGGCAATGAGCCTGGAGAGCCTGTCTCACAAGTTGTTATGTTAGGATTTGTTTGCACAAGCAGAATTCAAACACGCTCACCTGGCTGGTCGCTTTGGCAGTGCCGAATCATTCTCACTGTGTCTGCGATCATGTGCTGTTGGTTCAGGAGAAAAACATGTTTGCATCAGTACAAAACCCCCCAGTCATGGTCTAATATTTCAGGGTAGGGTTTTCTGCCTGACAGCACCAACATTAACATTTCAGCAGTTTTTATTCCAAATGAGACGAATGTGCTTCAGCTATTGAATCATGACCTTATTTTCTTTTAAGTGTTAGAGGGGAAGTAAATAGTTACAAAATAAATATTCCTAGTTGACAAAGATTTATTTTAAAGCAAAGCAACACTATTACATTGCCTCTGCAGCGTGGTTGTCTATCAAGACAGATAACGCAGAGGTACTTGGGCAGGTGACTGACTACCAACGACACTTAACAGGGCCACCCTGAACTCTATTATATCAAATAATGCCAGCTTGTGGTTATCAAACTAGCTCCAGCCTGTTTTTGATGTTTTTTTTCCACCACCTGATTGGGACTGCCTGGGGAAATGTGCACGTTAGTTCCCTGCCATCCTTGAGTATGATGGGTGAATTACCAAGTATGTGTTCAATCAATCACCTGTTGATGCATTGCATCTTGTTCTGAATGCAGTTACTGGAGGAGAATTTGAAAACTCACCTGTCTTACAGTATATGTGGCATTTGCTGTTTATGACGCATTAAGATTCAGAAAACTGACCCAACTCACCAGCTTCTCAAAGTTGACCAGGTTGTCATGGAAAGTCTTATTTCCCTCGTGGATAAATGTGATATCTAAGAGCAGAGGAGGTGAATCATTATTAGTGTGTGTGTGTGTGTGTGTGTGTGTGTGTGTGTGTGTGTGTGTGTGTGTGTGTGTGTGTGTGTGTGTGTGTGTGTGTGTGTGTGTGTGTGTGTGTGTGTGTGTGTGTGTGTGTGGAGAGGTTAGAGATGATACCTTTCAGGAGAAGAGGCATGAAAGGGATTTTGGGAGGCTTCATCTTCTTGAAGGCTTCTCTATAGGCTTTGTGGTTCAGAGATGGGTCCTAAAGAAAGGATTGGGAGAGGAGAATTAAACATTTGAAAATAAAGTCAAATGCAATTATATTTCCAGCTCTGCATTTAGCTCCATCTATGTTGAGTAAGGCTCACCGTGATGAGCTCCAACTCTGAGAAAATCTTCTTGAACTTCCCTGGACATTTCTAAAAAGGAAGATTTGTGGTCATTGGTTTTGATTTAAAATACAATACTATGTATGGATGAATTAAAAAAAAGTAAAAAACACACCTCCCAGGTTTGGTTGAGTCGACTGACAGCTGCTGTGTTAAGCCCCATAATGATGGCAAATGCAGAGTTCAAATTTCTTTGGGCTTTACAACTACAAATACACAAAACATATCAAAATGATTAACATCATAGAGCATTGAAATCTTGATGTTGTCGATAAATCCACTTTTATTTATGTATATGTCTGAGAGTGTGTTTGTGTCCGTTCTTACTGAGCTGCGATCTTGATGAACTTCTTGAGCAGCTGTACTCTCTTGTTGAGCGATGCACACATGAGCACCTCGGACATGACCCACTGCTGAACCTCGTTGCAGCGCTGCAGCAGGACGGAGAGCGCCGCCGTGTGGCCGGTACCGGGCACACGGCTCAGGGTGTAGTACGCCAGCTCTTGCTGCAAGTGGAAAGAGGAAATGTGTGAGTGAAAGTCCTCAAGCGTTTTAGAAAAATGCTCTAAAATATGTGGTCCAATTTTCAAACTCCACGGTGACATATTGTTGTTTTTTTTTCAAGCAAATGCTCATATTAATGAATTGAAATGGTGTAGAGTGCCTGAGGATACAGTATCATCCACAGAACAGTGTTTATTTCAACTTTTTCCAAACAAAAACATTCAGCACGTCCAGACAGCGAAAGAACACTATGTTCTCAAGACCCAGCAAGTCTTGAGCATTTGCATCTTTAATGCTTACCGGTATGTTCAAGCAATCTTTGCAATGAGCATTAATTTATTATGAACGATGTGCACACACCGCTTGCATATATGTGTGTGTGTGTGTGTGTGTGTGTGTGTGTGTGTGTGAGTGTGTATACCTCGTGGATGGATTTGAACAGGCTCCAGTCCAGGTGTGTGAGAGCAGCTGCCACATCCCAGGTGTTAATACCTAAGAGTCGCACCGTCCTCCTGCTTAGCTCAGCACTGTCCGTTAAGGGAGGCTGCACACCACACAAATAAAAAGTTAGGACAAGGTATACACAAAACAACACTACATACACACAGGTGTTGTCCATTCACAGGCAACTCTGAAAACAACATGCTCAATAAGATAACATGCCTACTGTTACGACAGTTAATTAATAGGTATTTATCTAATGTTGATTACAGACTGTTAAATATATCTTTCCTTAAGAAACAAACATCCAATAAACTGCAGTTTCTGAAAAGCCAAATATTGCAAAAACTGATTCAAAGCATTCACAACTGAAGCTCCACTGTGAAAAAACGCCATTACAGAAGTACACTTTGCCCTAATAGAGAACTTTCCAATACTGCCGTCACGGTTGGCAACACCAACATTCTCCTTTTCTCTCCTATTGAGTCAGAGTTAATACAATTCACCTGGCCTAAGAGTTTCGCTTGCTTAAAATGCATGACTCGTAGTAACACTGTGAAACATTTTATGTTTGGGATTTAAAATACACACTTTCATGCTGGATTTAGCGAGAAGATGATACGGCTAAGAATAATATCAAATGCAGTAAAATGCCAAATAATTATATATTGAGAAGTTAGCTTTAAACCTACAAGCTGCATCTTTTAGCCTCTATGAATATTTGTGAAAATATGGAAAGATGGCTGGTTACAGAATGACAGAAAGAAAAAGTAGGACAGAGATTTTACATACCATAATCTCATTGAGATCCCTGCGACAGACCACCAGCTTTCCCTGTGGGGTCAGAGACTCTGAATACACACAGTCACTGGGCTGTAACACCCTCCGCTCTGCAGAGACAAAGCAACAAGAGGGATGATTATAACCATTCAGAGCCAAGAGGGTTGCAAATCATGCAGTTGCTAAGGGACAAGCTAAACCTATTTTTAAAAAGCAAAGAAAATGGATAATTGATTCAAATTGAAAGATAAAAGCAGAACATTGGATGGCCTAAAGTAATTAATGAACACATGAAGTAAGTAAGTAAATAATAAACAGATGGAGTAGGTCACACGCTGATGGAAGCTATTAAACGATTAAAATAGTTAACAGTAGCTAAAAGTATCGGATTAACAATCTATAGTTAATGTTTACTAAAAGTAATAGTTCATGATTATTAAAAGCAAATTAACTAATTGTTAAATAAATAAACAAACTGTTCAAATAGTTAGAGTATTGGATGAATGTTTAGTATAAATATCCAAAATAATGTAAATATTGTTTGCTGCAGGTTAGTTCTATGGTTATAAAATAATCAAAGATCAATTTTCTGACAAACCAAACTTAACATTGTCTGTCCGTCCGTGTGTGTGTGTGTGTGTGTATGTACCTCCAGTGTGCGATGCCACAGCAAGCACCATGTCTTCTTCTGTCCTGTCCATCTTCAGACCCACAATCCTTAGCAGCTCATGGGCCTCCAGTGACGGGTGTGTGTGGACACTCAGGTATGAGTCAGCGCTCACGTACACACAGCAAATAACTGGAAGATGGTACATATACTGTAAATATGCTGACACATGAAATGACTGAAATACTGTAGATCAAAATGAAGCAGATTCAGAAAAACCCAAGTATTTACAGAGATTTGAGCTTATTTACTTGATTTAAGTACTTAAAACAATTATATGAGTTGAATTGAAGCAATTTGCCAGGGCACATTGAAATTAAAACTCATGGACTGTCATTATGCATAATGTATCATTTTGTGTTGTGTATGTGTGTGTGCATGTGTGTTACTCACCCTCTCTAGTATCGGTCGAAGGACTTCGGGGTTGCAAACAGTTTTCCTTCAAACTCAACTGCTGATACATTTGTTTACTCTGACAGAGAAAGAGAAGAAGAAACATGGAGATGTTCAATTCTGTATTCATACTACACTGCTTATAGTTGTATTACAGTTGAACTCATGGATGTATCGCTTTGCATCTAACCTCCCTTCTCTGGTTTACCTTTTGGTTTGGAGGGCAGTCATCGACAGTGCTATAAGAGGGAAACAAGACGCACAACGGTGAACATGGATAAAAGTAGGTGTGAAATTGAAACAATATACACACACAAAGTGACTGTCAATGAAGAACAAAGTCTTGTACAGAGACGAAAACACTTACTGTCGGCGACGCAGAAGTTTCTGGAACTCCTTCAGGTCCTTCTCAAGCGTGGGGAACTCGTACAGATCTTCTAAAACACACCTATACAGGGTCTAACAGAGAGCGAGCAAAACAAAACAGGTAACTATTTACACAACATCCAGAATCTCATGCTGTCAAATAAAATGACCAAAATAATATGGCATTATCATAACCGTCTGTGTAGAACATTTACCGAGCAAAATTTCATTTAAATGACACTGCGTAGTTTGATTAAATAAAAAAAACAGACAAATTCTGTACTTTGTGCTGAAAAGGGTGACAAGGCATTCGCTCTAGTGTGTGTGTGTGTGTGTGTGTGTGTGTGTGTGTGTGTGTGTGTGTGTGTGTGTGTGTGTGTGTGTGTGTGTGTGTGTGTGTGTGTGTGTGTGTGTGTGTGTACATGGCAGGGAAGTAGTAAGAAGTATGAAAGCTCAGGAGGCAGAAACAGCAAGGATACACACACAAAGACACACGTCTCCAAACACCTGCTTATCGCTGTCATTGACCCACCATAGCCTCCCATCCCAATTCTCCTCTCATTCCTCCTGTTACTAGGCAACTATCACCTGGGTTACGCACTCCATATGAGATTATACACATGCCAACCCTCGCACTTTGGTTTCCATGGCAACCTGGCACAGAGATACAGAGCCTCCAGGTTACGGAGGGACAAGTGATTTGGTGAGCGTGTGCGCTTCTTGCAGGTGAGCAGTGTGATAAGTACCTGTGTGTGTGTGTGAGTTTCTCTTTCCGTGTCATGTCTGTCACGGGGATTATCATGCAATTCAGCAAACCATGTGATAATATAGCAGGAACACAGTGGATACAAGCAGCAATTGTGAAGAGAAACATGGCAATATTGTGACACAGTATTACGGAGGCACGGCTGGCCTGATTTGCACTGTTTCATCTTATTTAACATTGTGCGAACTGCCTTTCAGGGTGGAATAACAACTTGGAAATAGACAGCAAAGTGTTATTTAACACTGAGCGATCCAAATCCAATACTTCTTATTTGTAGCCTCCATGATGTCTCCATGTGACAGAGTAAAGCTCATGAACACACCGAAGTTAGAAAAACAACTTGCCAACTCAGTACATTTGACTAGATAGAGTAAAAGGGAATAATTCTCCTGATTATCTTCTATTAGTCTCTGAAAGAACCACACATTTAAACATCTTTTCTCACATGATACACTATAAAAGGGCCTGTATTCTTTCTACTTTTAATTAGCTGGCATTGTCAGAAGGAGGAGATACAAATTCAATAAGGTTTCCCTGTAGGAGAAAGCTGAAAACAGTTCAAAACGAGAAGAAGCAAACAAACGGATCTAACACACGCACAATTTCAACTCTCTGTGTCTCAAAACAAAATGCTTGATGTCCTGTCGTGCAGAACTTAAAGAAGGACAACCCCATTAAGTGTGCAACTCGATTTTAACAGGATAACAACTGGTGACTTCTAGAATTGTGTGAGTAACATTCTGTCTTTAGACTTCTCTGTTTCAGTGTGTGTACTCTGTATAAATGCTCTGTAGTTGATCTGACTGAAATTGTGATTTTAAATCTCAAAACCGCTACAGTATCTGTCAGGCAGAAACTTGGGACAAGTAATTTGACTGAAACCTTAAAACTGAACTAACTGACTGCTAGGGTTAACTTTGAATTAAACATTTGTAGAATACTAAGAGCTTTATTGAGTAGGTGTAACTGTATTAAGGGTTAAACTCATAACTTTATAACTTAGGGTTTAATGTAATTGTAAAACCATTGGGCCACTGAAAAGACACAATAGCAACTCAGGAGGGAGCCAGTCTAGATTTCCTTTTGAGGGCCACCAGCTGCAGAGAGTTAACTAATTAAAGGGGCGTGGCCCCACATCTGTGAGAACTCAGCAATCAGGTGTCCATTTTTAGGTAGCACTTTCCTGGAGCGTCAGACAGACGAAGACTGACAAAGACAATAGAGTCCTGCTGGAGTCACGAGGGTGGCAAAGAGGAGGCAAATCCTACTTTGATTGAACTAAGTATCGCTGGTGTTTTATTTTATTTGGTTGTTTAGCCCCTCATGCTATAATCATGTGTATTTTCTCCATTCCTGTTCATGTGTCTTCTCGCAATTATCACTGGCCCCGTGTATCTCGTAATCGATATAACCGGCCTGCTCTCGTCTATCCCACATGCTCCACTGACATCCAACATCTAGTTTCAGGTGGCCTGTGGAACTGCCAGTCAGCTGTTCCTAAGGCTGACTTCATCTCTGGCTACGCTTCCCTGCAGTCTCTGGATTTCCTTGCTCTCACTGAGACGTGGATTACTCCATCCAACACATCCACCCCAGCAGCTCTCTCCACAGCATATTCCTTCTCCCATACACCCAGACCCACTGGCAGAGGAGGTGGCACTGGTCTCCTGCTCTCTCCCAAATGGAGCTTTTCCCTCTTCAAGCTACCTAACTTCACTCCTTCCACCTTTGAATTCCATGCCGTCACAGTAACCCATCCTATACAGTTAACCATTGTTGTTCTCTACCGTCCACCAGGCGCCTTGGGGGACTTCTTGGAGGAATTAGATAATCTCCTCTCACACATCCCTGAAACTGGCCCTCCCGCTGTACTTCTCGGAGACTTCAACCTCCAGACAGGGAAGATAGACGAACTAACATCTCTGTTAACCGCCTTTGCTTTCTCACTGTCTCCATCCCCACCAACTCATAAAGCTGGCAATGTCCTTGATCTCATATTCTCAAGGAACTGCGCTACTTCTAACCTCTCTGTAAACCCGCTCCACACATCCGATCACTTCTTCATTTCATTCTCTCTACCCCTTTCCAAACATAACAAACTAATCTCTTCTCATCCTGCACCTGTCCGCCGTAACCTTCGTTCCCTCTCTCCCTCTACCTTTGCCTCATTGGTGCTCTCAGCCCTCCCTTCCTCTGACTCGTTCCAACTCCTACCTCCAAACTCTGCTGCAGAAACTCTCCTCTCTACTCTCTCATCCTCTCTGGACTCGCTCTGTCCTCTCACATCTCGGCAGGCTCGTCAGTCCCCTCCTGCTCCCTGGCTAAATGACGCACTGCGTGCTAATAGAACCGTCCTTAGGGCAGCAGAGCGGAAACGGTGGAAATCCAAACACCAAGACGACCTCCTAACCTATCAGGCTCTCCTCTCCTCTTTCTCTGCTTCTTTCTCAGCACTTTCTTTCAAGATAAGATCCAATCTTCCTATTCCAATCCCAAAAAACTATTTTCCATCTTCTCCTCCCTCCTGGACCCCCCCAAAGCCCCTTCCCCCTCCTCCCTCCTGTCAAGCGACTTTGTTACCCACTTTGAAAAAAAGATTGATGATATTCGCTCTTCTTTTTCTGACTCACCTTTACTCACCACTGGGTCACCAGACCCTCCTTTCACCCACACACTGACCTCCTTTTCCCCTCTCTCTCCAAGTGAGGTTCTTACCCTCATTACCTCTGCCCGCCCTACCACCTGTCCTCTGGACCCTATCCCTTCAAAACTCCTTCAGACTATCGCTCCTGATATTCTACCGTTTCTCACCCATTTCATCAACACTTCTCTAACTTCTGGTCACTTTCCAAACAGTCTCAAGGAGGCAAGAGTAAACCCTCTCCTAAAGAAACCCACTCTCAACCCGTCTGATGTTATAAACTACAGGCCTGTCTCTCTCCTCCCGTTCCTGTCTAAAACACTTGAACGCGCTGTCTTTAAACAACTCTCCTGTTATCTCCATCAGAACAACCTTCTGGATCCGCACCAGTCTGGTTTCAAGGCAGGTTTCAAGGCAGGTCACTCCACAGAAACTGCCCTCCTTGCTGTCACTGAGGAACTGCACACTGCTAAAGCAGCCTCCCTCTCCTCTGTCATCATCCTTTTGGACCTGTCTGCGGCATTCGACACAGTGAATCATCAGATCCTCCTTCGCACTCTCCAAGAATTTGGAGTTTCAGGCTCTGCACTTTCCCTCATCACCTCATACCTCAAAGACCGCACCTACAAGGTTACTTGGAGAGGGTCGGAGTCCGACCCTTGTCAATTAACTACAGGGGTCCCTCAGGGCTCTGTTCTTGGTCCCCTCCTCTTCTCCTTGTACACAAACTCGCTCGGATCTGTCATTAGCCCGCATGGTTTTTCATACCACTGCTACGCTGACGACACCCAATTGATTCTGTCCTTTCCCCGCTCAGAGACCCAGGTCGTCGCACGCATCTCTGCTTGTCTAGCTGACATCTCTCAGTGGATGTCTGCTCACCACCTCAAGCTCAACCTTGACAAGACTGAACTGCTTTTCCTTCCAGGAAAAGATTGTCCCACTCTTGACCTAACAATCAACATCGGCATCTCTATTGTTTCCCCGACACAGACTGCAAGGAATCTGGGTGTGATCCTAGATAACAACCTGTCCTTCACTGCAAACATAGCTGCTACAACCCGCTGCTGCAGATACACGCTTTACAACATCAGGAGGATACGTCCCCAGCTGACCCAGAAAGCGCCGCAGGTTCTGGTCCAGGCTCTCGTCATCTCACGCCTAGACTACTGCAACTCCCTCCTGGCTGGTCTACCTGCATGTGCCATCCGACCTCTGCAGCTCATCCAGAATGCAGCGGCTCGTCTGGTCTTCAACCTTCCTAAATTCTCCCACACCACGCCGCTCCTCCGCTCGCTTCCGGTAACTGCTAGAATCCACTTCAAGACAATGGTACTTGCGTACCATGCTGCGAATGGATCTGGCCCTTCCTACATCCAGGACATGGTTAAACCGTACACCCCAGCACGTGCACTCCGCTCTGCATCAACCAAACGGCTCGCTGCACCCTCGCTGCGAAGCGGACCCAAGTTCCCATCAGCAAAAACACGTGGGTTTGCTATCCTGGCTCCAAAATGGTGGAATGAGCTCCCCATTGAAATCAGGACAGCAGAAAGCTTACACACCTTCCGGCGCAGACTGAAAACTCATCTCTTTCGACTCCACTTCGAGCGATAGAACTATTAACAAAGCACTTATATACTAATAAAGGACTGGCTTACCTAAAGCCAGTTGAGTAGCACTTGAAATGTTTTTGCTCTATGAAACCTGATGTACTTATATGATTCTGTTTTCTTCAAGTTTGTATTTTGTTGGTCGAACGCACTTATTGTAAGTCGCTTTGGATAAAAGCGTCAGCTAAATGCAATGTAATGTAATTAAAGAACAAGACCAAAAGACAAATGAAGATGACTGAGGCTTATTATGTTTATCGGTGTGTGACATGTGTGAAATGACATCAGAGGATCAGACTAGCAAACTGTTGAAATAGAGGAGACAAAGACGAGTAGTGCCGTACCTTCATGAAGCTCCTGACGTGCTCCTCTTCTTTCAGGAAGTCCTTGTAGAGCCTGCTCCAGTGGGAGACCAGCTGCAGTACCTTGCGCTTCCTAAAGAGGGCGTCTTTACCCTCCTCTTGGCCCCTGCAGCGGGCACTGCTATAAGTGAGAGTAGTCAAGGAGACAACTGATAGCAGTGTAGAGGAAGAAAGGATGTGTGTGTGTGTGTGTGTTTGTGTGTTTGTCAGAAAGGATATTGTCCGAGCAGAGCCTGGCAAAGGTCATTGGTGGACATGAACACCAGGTATGTTAACAGGAAGTCATCCAGCAGCGTTTCTGAAACACAGAAAAAACATCAACAGTTACTTCCATGTCCTTCACTAGCAACAGTGCAAGTGACGTTTTCAAAACCTATTTGTGGTATTAAGATATGGAAAGTGACATGAAAGTCTCTAATAGTTTGTCCCTCTCTTCAGCCTTTAGGTTACATTATTAGTTATCCTCCTTGTGTTAGTCTCATTAGAAATAGACTTTAAAGCCCTCAACTTCAAGAATGATCATTGCCATGTATGTCTTTCTTCTCTAAAATAGCTTGCAAATAGGGACAATACATCATTTTACATCCACCAATGGGTCAAATTATGTGTAATTTGAAAGAGGCTTCTGATGGACAAACTCACTAACTAATGAACAAGTGGAGAATATAGCAGCTCGACTCTAGACGGACATATATTTCCTTAAAGAGGTGGTGGAGACCAAAAGAAGAGCTAACATGAGAGTGAATATTGGACATACACTCATCAGCCGGCCAACAAAGGACTCATAATAAAAGTTAAGGCTGCTCCGTTTCTTTTTTATATGTAAATATGCAACTACTCGCATATTACATTTTGAAATGTTAAGTGTCTTTAGAGACCTTTTGATCTCAAGAAGTTAACAAAATTGGTTGCATAGCATACGTTTGGGGTAGAACAGGTTATATCGCTGGCTTATGGTGCCCACCACAATCAAATATCAAATATTTTCAAAATACTAAAGAAGATTATATGTATATTTTCTTAAAGGTTCAAATGTATAACATTTTAGAGAAAAACTAGCTTATTTACAAGAGAGACAGCAACAGTGTGTGTGTGTCAAACTCTTTCCCTGGGAAAATGTGTGACCCAAATATGGTTCTGTCGGGCAGAGAAAAGAGAAATCAATTATAGAAGACTGAGCAAAGGCTGCTGCATTAATATTTGATCAACTGTCTTCTCTTTAGAAATAAAAACACAACTCTTCTCAATAAATATTTTTAGACAGGTCTGACTTATAGGTTTTCATTTATTCAAAACCTTGTTGACTTTCTTCTTGACCAGCTATCAGTCTATGTGCTGCCTTCTCTCTCTCTCTCTCCATTGCAGACTCCTCGCCCGCCTCCCTCCACTTCACCCCCATTTTCTCCTTCTCCGTGGTAACATTTGCTCAAGCTACTACTCCCCTCCTACTCTCGCAGCTCCCTGTGATCACACACACACACACACACACACACACACACACACACACACACACACACACACACACACACACACACACACACACACACACACACACACACACACACACACACACACACACACACACACACACACACACACACACACACACACACACACACACACACACACACACACACACCACACACACACACACACACACACACACACACACACACACACACACACACACACACACACACACACACACACACCTGATGAATAACGCATTCGGTTCTGACCTTGGGGACTTTATCTCTTGTGAGACAGGAAGGAAAAAGAGAGCAAGTGTGTGCAGAACTAATCGCAGTAATCTGCTGCTGTGTTTTTTGTTGTGTGTTTTTTTTTCATGTGTACGTGTGAAGGGGTGGTTGGGGTAATCGTTCTCTGTGGAAGCGTGTTCAAGCCTGTTCTACATGCTGCACAGCTAAGCCCGCTAAAACGGCACACTGATGCTCAGCACCACCCCAGAGGGCCTACAAACACACACACACACACACGTGCACACCCTTATACTTATTCTGTGCACATAGTACAAAAGATAGACACACAGAGACAAATACCAATCATGCACATACACTCTTGATCTGCTTCCCTGCTAAATAAATACAAAAGTGTGTTTTCTCTCTACAGTAAATACATATTGTGTGGTCCTCCTCCACAAAGACCATCTCAGTTCTCCTTTTTCTTTCCCCTCAGTCTCTCCCTCCCTCCCTCTCTCTCTCTCTCTTCGTTTTCTGTTTACTGCTATTCATCGAGATGGCTCCCTGTGGACTGCCGGGTGGTGCTGAGGAGTTAATGCATAAAGACGCCTTGTCTTAAAACGGTGCGACTCACAAGAAAAGGTTTTATAAAATACATGTTGTGAACCAGGTGTCTCTGGTGCTACTGGGTTTAAGTTGTTTAAGTGAAGATGGCTTCACAATGATACAAACACTATCTGTTTTTTATTCTACAGGAATGATTATCTTACTTTAACAGAATAATAAATACTATTATTTACTATAACTTACACTACAATTACTTTAAAATAATACAAACATTTATAATAGACTAATCAACTACTGAATACAAATTCAATATCTCACTTAAATGCATTCGGGGAAGAAATTGTGCAAATGAATCAAATGAAAATAATAAGTTGCTCCCCGACTTTCAATGTAGTCTATATGCTAACTACACTGCTGTAAAACAAATGACAGAACGTGTCCCGAGGTAAAACAATGTAGCAGGGCTGTTCCGGTGAAATAACCCAGCAGCCATAGGTACATGTGATGATTGTGAAAATGATATATGACAGATGAAATTGTTTGCAGCAGGAATGCTTACAGCAGCCTGAGGGAATCGTTTCTTTCAGAAACTCATTAGAGCATTTAACCTCAACCTTTGTTCCTCATACTAACAGATTTACAGGCAATGACACACACACACACACACACACACACACACACACACACACACACACACACACACACACACACACACACACACACACACACACACACACACACCACACACACACACACACACACACACACACACACACACACACACACACACACACACACACACACACACACACACACACACACACACACACACACACACACACACACACACACACACACACACACACACACACACACACACACACACACACACACACACACACACACACACACACACACACACACACACACACACACGGTTTGAACCCCTGTGCGGAATATCAAAGAGACATAGAAAGAGTCCAGGCTGTGTTGTGTTGCAACTTGTGTGGGACTAAAAAAAAAGTACCCTGAAATTAGAGGGCGGGGAGTTGCTTTGTTTGAAACATACCTTTGCTCAAACATAGGAAAAAAAAAAACTCCACAACTTCTTCATTTATCTGACAAAATGTCACATTTTCAACTAAACGGTGTTTAAATGTCATTTTCTTCTATCAATCTGGTTATCTTTTTTTGTAAATACAGCCACACGTGTGTATCGTTGCCCTTTCACAGATGTGTTCATGAAGCATTTGTGTTCACACGTGTGTCGACAAACTTACCGCTCTCCCTGCTCTCTGGCGCCCCTCTTTGGTCGTCCAGCCGCAGGTCACTCAGCAGATGCTCCAAGATCTTGAGGGGCGTCCCGGACACCACCACATACCTGCAAGACGAAGAGTCGCAACAATCTTCTTCACTAGAGCACCAAGAACGTCCACTTCCATTCCTCCACCCTCCCTTACTCTCCTCCTTCTTCTCCTCCACATCGTCGTCGATGAAGCGAAAATGGGGAACGTCAAAAGCACACATTTCTGAACAGCTACCATCTTCATCGTGATTGCTACACTCGTCATCATCGTCCTCCTCATCGTCATCCTCTATGTCCTCCTCTGCCTTGGCAAGCGTAGCTAGCTCCGTGGTCATCTTCATATCTAACAACCTCCGCAGGATCAGCCCTCATCTAAGCTCTTCATACCCAGGAAGGGTGCTCTCCTGTGGGGTAAACTGCATTGCCGTCAGCCTAAGAGCTCCAGAGATTAAAACGCTCTCTGTGACAGTTTCTACGGTAGCGCTCGGAGGGAACTGATTGCTACTGAAGATGCTGAGCACTGCACACACACAGACATACTCACTTAACCTGCCTGTCACTGACACTCCCTGCAATGTGCCTCAGGACTTGGCACACACTGGCTTAAAAACACACTAACACAGACACTGCACAAAATAAATTAACTTAGAAAAGGCACTTGCACAGACACACAGACAAATAACTCTAAACGCATACACGGATTCGTGGAAGGAAGTCAACCAGCCTTGGTGCCATCTTTGTTTGGCTTCCAGCTGAAAACAAAAAAGCCATTCTCTTCTACCAGCTCTGTGCCAGAAGCCAAAGCATACATTATCTTAGACAAACACACACAGTGTTGACAGCACTTCTGATATGTTGCATGTACGTGCATGAGTGTTTCGTTGCAACATCCCAGAGTGGACGAGGAGAAGTGTTATGATTATGTTTTTGTTGCTACTGTTGGTTGAGAGGGCTGTTATTATGTAGGAGGGACTGACCTCTTGTCACAGTCCTCCTCTCTGGACCCGCCCCCTGACGATGTGGGCGAAGGCCGGTCCGATGGCGACGTCACTGAGGAAGTCACTCTCCGCAACACCAACACGTCCCGTCCTCTCTCCTTCAGACACACCCTCCCCACTGCCTCCTGGGAGGGAAAAAGGTAGAGGGACATGTCACAAAGTGAGGCAAAGAATAAACTGTTTAAAAAGCGATTTAAGGGAGTGTAAACATTGGATGTTTGTTTTTTTAAACAATAGATACTTTCAGACTTAGTCTACAATTAAATACTCACTTTATGTCCTCTCTTTTTTTAGACTGAGCAGCTTTTTTGACCCTGTCAGCACTTTCTTTTATTACCCACTAAGGAAGAGAACCAAAATACCTATGTTTCCAGTAGAGGCCAAATGAAAAGTTTGATAATATTAAAAGGCCTATTCTAGCTGATTACAGATATTTATATATTAGTGCGTATGATGTCCGATAAGGTATGTTTGAGGTGAATAACACATTACATATTTGTCACTAGAAGATTGACAAATTAAATGTTGGTCTGTAAAATACTTCGCTCACTATGCTTTTTACTGATCAAGTGAAAAGAAATCTGAATGTGCCAAATGTTTTTTTCATAACACGTTAAGACAAATACCAGCCATATTGAATACACATTGATATTCTCATAGGCCTCAAATATCTAGTATCAATCAGGTTACCCAGACCATTTCGCCTAAGATTAAAATGTCTTGAATGCTTACATGAATAAAGCCTTTGCACTCGCACACGTCCACACATGCAGGTGCAGATTATGCTGGCACCATCACAGGGAAGTATTGCCTTTCCTGCCTTTAGAAGAAATGCTATTGTGTAATAAATAACAATGGGAATGTAGGCTGACACTTCAAATGATCATCACACACACACACACACACACACACACACACACACACACACACACACACACACACACACACACACACACACACACACACACACACACACACACACACACACACACACACACACACACACACACACACACACACACACACACACACACACACACACACACACACACACACACACACACACACACACACACACACACACACACACACACACACACACACACACACACACACACACACACACACACCATTGTTGTGTTTAGTCTTACAGTCTTATCCTTAACTAGCTTCTTCTTTTTTTTCATAGATGGAGCTTGTAAAAAGTCTTATGGTTTAAACAAAGTGCCAACAGTAGAGGTTGATAACTGTGACTTGGGCAGCATTGAGCCCGAACACTGAGCACTATGAATGCAGTCACTAAGACCTTGTAACTCGAGAAACAAGTCAATGGACAGGCCGACAAACACACTTACTCACGCACACACTCGCTATCTCTATGATCTTCTGATGAAAGACGTTGTCTGAACCCGACAGACAGCACGTGAGGTATGACTTGGGACAGACAAATATAATGTGTGTGTGTGTGTGTGTGCGTGCGTGCGTGTCCTGATGTGATACAGATGTTCAGTGGGGTGAGGTCACTGAATCTCCCTCAGGTGTTTTGGTGTGTAAGTGTCAAATTGTCTCATGAAACCTGTTAGGGAAATAATTGTCTTAGACTCCTAGATATGACGTGCATGACCAACCCTGACGTCTGTTATCTCCTTTAAGGAGATAGGCTGCTTCAGCCATAATGTTGTTGTTCCCATTCTGTGACCGGGCAACACTAGGTCACAGATGGTCTGTTGTTGTGGGTGCACTGGGACACTTCCTTCTTTGTTGTTTGTAGACTCCAAGGTATGAAATCTTCGAGGCCATAAGTGACTGACGCAAGTGACTCAGTGTTCCCAACTGTGCCCAACTGTCTAAGCTATCTTATCAAAATATGTTGATTACTCTCTGTGACACCAGTTAAATGGGCTAACAAGAGAGGCGCTCCAGAATTGAGGTGGCAACCCACCCGTGCAGTCTCACCGTGGCTGCTGTGACTTGTGATGTGAATTCTCCGGCCGAAACTCCAAATAAATCATCAGTGTTTGACATCGAAGCTCCTGCTCTACAGTGTCTCTTTCCTGAGTCGGTGACTCCCACTGCATTGCTGCTACACAGAAGTTTCCCTTACAAAACCTTCCTCCGTACAAAATGATTTAAACATATTTTTATATTACAATGCAGCCAAAAGCTTCGACTCCTTTTCAGACTGACTTCTAATGTGTGTTAATGCTGTGTCCCTGTGATAAATGTTGCTTTATTGCCCGATTTTGACTTTCTATCTTATTTCTTACATCTGTAAAGCGTCTTTGAGCACCTGATAAAGCGCTTGAAAAATAAAATGTATTATTTGTATTAAACATTTTCATCAAAATGTCATTGTAACACCTTATAATGACTAATTGTATGGTTGTTTTGAAAGTTCCGGTTAGAAAGAAATCGCCCACTACTGCAGAGGCTTTGGTCTGATCGGCAGAACCCTCTATCTTGGCACTCAGAGGAAAAGAAAACGGAGGTGTTCAACACGGCACGTCTTGTTCAGGACTCCATAAGAACATTTTCTAAATGGTCATTATGAATATGACAAGTACAAATAGGCTTATTGCGTTAAATAGGCAAATATCCTTGACTGTATTATACATGTCAGGGGTTTCAGTGTACAAATAGCTTCCCGGTCTTCAAAGAGAACCCAACTGTTGTGGAATGATGTGCTTTCAAAAGATCTGAGATTTCCCAATGCTGAAATTAATGTCTTCAAGGTTAAGCAACACAGAGATGCATTGAGCTGGTAAATAAGGCAGTGACAGCTGATGTGAAGAGATCTGACGCTGCATGCCATTATTACGATTTGGGCCAGCACCCAGACCGCACCCAGCACCCTGGATAAACTCAAGATAACAAGAGTTTTGAGGCCTACCATTCGAACACATCATCCAGGGGTTCAAACAGGAACCGGGATGTTTTTCACAGGTCTCCATCTTTATTTGTATTAACCTTTCCTTTCTCTCTTTCTACACACCAACAATCCGATGAACAAAAAGTTTGGAGAGATTATGGAACTAATTCAAGTACAGCTATTACAAGAACAAAAAGGGAAAGAGAATGTTGTTTTGGTGTTCCTGATACAGTAGAAAACTGTTGATCTCTCCGATAACACTCGCACTCTTTGCAAAGATGCCAAGAATAACAGCTCCGAGCCAAGAATGGAGGACGGCAGCGTTTTATCACACAAACCCGCGCTCCAAAAGGGTTCCAGAGAATTCTCCAAAACAAAAAAACTTTCAACACTGCCACCATTAAAGTGTAACTATACACACACACACACACACACACACACACACACACACACACACACACACACACACACACACACACACACACACACACACACACACACACACACACACACACACACACACACACACACACACGTAAAGACTTGAGTGCAAACAGCAGCTCCCAAGAAGAAACATGAATTTAGCCTGAGAAAGAATGCAAGAAATGAAAGGGAAAATATACAAAGAAGGCACTTGAAGGCCGCAGAGGAGGAGGTTAGAAAGTTATGCAACACAGAAAGGGAGATGGATGACAAGAAAAGCAAGCAAGATGTAAGGCGAGAGACCGGGACTGCAAAGTGAGAGACGCAGGGGAGTGTGGCTTAAAGTGAGAACAAAAAGAAGGAGTGTGAAAAAGAGGGAAAGATATTGTTGTATCCAAAAGGGCCAGCATACGTCAGCTGTAGGGTACATCATCAACTTAAAAAGAGAATATTGCATTGATTGATTTGATTATTTTGCCTCTGTCGACAATGCCAATATGTCAGAATCATGCTCAAATTGGCTATTTCTGTTATGTAATATACCCACCTGACAAAATATGTAAATGATGTGACTGAAAAAATACATCCATTTGATTAGAGCACTCATTCAAGTATTTTGTCATGCAAATGTATCTAAATGTGCGTTTTTAAACATCTCAAATAAGTAGATTTCCTGCTTCTCTCTTTTTTTTTTACATTATAATAATATGGATGTGTTTGTGTTCTGCATTAACCAAACAAGACAACTAGGTTTTAACATCAGCCAAATGACTAATCTACAAAATAGTCAGCATATTTATGATGAATTTACAATGCTAAAAAATAAATTGCAGCCCTGCCTCAAGCAACAGTTATGTAAAACATTTACAAACTGCTTTGGTAAAGTTAGCTTTTTGTGGCCGTCACTTGTTTTCAGCCAACAGGTGTGTCTGTCCCTTTCCTTCCTTTTCTTCTCATCCCTTCCTACAATTCAACCATCTGCACTTCCACCTCGTCGACACCCTTTCCTCCTCACGTTCGCCTCTACATTTCTGAAAACACTTTTTCTCTCTCCTCTCCTCTCTTTTCCTCCCCTAGGCCAAGACTCTCTGCCTTTGAATGGTCAGACTTTCTGCTCTAGAGGCTCGAGATTTAAGAAAATTAAATGGAGACCAGGGGAAATGCACTTACTGTGCCCCTCATGAGGTCACAGACCTAGTGCACTGCACAGACACAATATGACGTACAGAGGAAAGGTGGTCCTACCGGAAAGACTAAAGGAAGCCCTCTCTGTTCCCTTTGTGTTTCTGCATGTGTGTGTGTGCTGTGTGTGCTGATAGAAACTATGCCATATCTGTGTTGTGATAGCTCCAGGCCTGATTCCTGGAAATAATGGATAAGAATATGAAACACAATGCGTTTCAGTCAGCAGCTCTCATTCGTGCAACTCTCAGACAGAAACTGTAACACAAGTTACCAAAAGCCTGCCTGTGTGCGACATGCACACTGTGACCTTGTATAATACTGAGTCTGGTTGGCTTCTGGTTAACTCCCATGGCTGATCCAATGAGAATGAATGATAGTGCACTCAATAAACTGCTACAGGAGTTCAAATCACTATGGAGACCCACAGAGGTTTGTCAGAGCTTGTTTGTCATTTGGAAATAAAATGTAAAAATCACCATGACAACACAGTAAAAGTAGAGTGGTCTTTTTGGTGAATAGATATTTAGGGTTGGTTTTTGTTTCTGTCATATTTTGCGGCCTGAGCTGCACGACTCGCTGATATTAAACACATCTTACATTTTGGTGCATAACTTAAAAGGATCATTCATTTGTTCACTTTTAGAAATGATTACAGCTCAACATGTGTGTCCAAACTTAGGAAACACCAAGAGCCTAATTGATTGATCTAGAAAATAATTGCCAGCTTAAACACATTTTCTCTTTTGCTTCATTCAGAAGCACTACTTTGATAACAAAGAAATATATATGTTTCTACTTTTGTATACAAGAAATTAAAGTGAAAAAATATCCTCTTCGGAAAAATCCCCAAGGCTGGGCTTAGGTCAAACCCACCAAGCTGATGAGATATGTGGCAGATTTCACAAACACATATTAAGATGTAGGGTGAAAATCAGACTGCATTTAGCTTCGCCTCCTGCCCTCAGGTGCACCGTAGAGCTGGATTATACAGTACAGCGCTTCTCTAACACCCCACTCATTAAATGCACACACTGACTCAGCCTGCCAGCACCAGCAGTGCATGAACACACACACACAGACACACACACATATAAGCTCCCACACATGAGTATAAGCTGTAGCCAGAAAACTCACACGCACAAGTGAACATACAGTAGACATACACAGTACTTTGCAGACTGTAAAAGGGCATGAGATCACATTGCACTAAGCCCTTATTAACACCCACATTAGGTGAACTAGAGAGCAGCTGGTTATTTAATCTGAACTGATAGGAATGAAGCAAAGCGCTACGTGTCCATATAGGCAATGATAGCTTCAGTTTGCATGTGTGTGGGTGAATTTAGTGCACAGATGTGTCCTCGGATGATGTAATAAAGTGAGGAGGCATGTTGTGAACTAAAAAAGAAATGTAGTGCAATAACCCACCACAGCATTTACATTTTTATAAAGAAATGTAAAAACAGCAATTAATACAAATAAATGAGTTTAGGTTACATATGATAAACTGTATGTGAATGTTGATTATATTTGTGTTGCTACCTTGGATAATGTTTAGCTGTATGCTTCCGTTTTAGCTTATTTTATGTTGACATTATGAATGGGAGAGATGTACCTACTTTCTCTTATTTTTAGCTCATCTGTTTTGTGGATATTGTGGTAAAGAATGTTATGTTTGAATGTGGTTTATTTTGTCTTTCCAAGAAAGAGCAGTTGTTACTGTGGTAATAACTAATGGTGACCCTAAATAATGTAAATTAGAGTAAATGTGGACATGTGTGTTTCATCCTTTAGACTAACAGCAAACCAGGATGGTCCTCCTGATGCGGATTTTCTCGCATTACTCCTGACCATTCATGAGTAACTAAGACCTTAAGTGCGTGTTTTAAAAGTGACTACAATAATTGCCACATTCACCACATCATGACGTACATTACTCTGTACTCATGATAACCATATAGCCGCAACTCGCTTTGCAGATTACATGGTGAGAAACCAATGACTTTGCGGAACAAACTCAGACCTGGGAATACTGTATGATATAAATGCAATGTAGGTATAAGTGATTGCCCACCGCTTTAAGGTAAAAACTGCTCACCAGATGAAAATCTAAAATCAATGATTGTAGGTCAACCTTTGGAGGGACTATGAATCAGCATACCATTACAACATATTGAGGCTGTCCCACCACATCACCTCTAACCCCAACCATGTCCTGAACAGCGGATATGAATTGTAACCATCAAACCGGAGACACAGTGTCCCGCAATTTAAAAAGGTAAAGCTGAAGCATTCTTTTGTGCACCACTCAAATGAAATACAGAGCTAAAACCCAGATCTAATGTACGTTAGAGGGTCTTGTGCAGGTTTCTCTTCAGTGACCCTGATGTTTTGTCAAATTTTCCCTTGTATCTCGTCTTAAATATCTGTCCTTGTTGATGTTGCAAATGGAGCTGCTCTGGTGCAAAAAAAATGTCAGACTCTCTGACTATACATTATTGTCGTATCTTAATTCAAAACATTAGAGCCATCATCACACTCACCGCCTGGTTCCTGTCTGGCAGCCGGTAGTTGTGGTTCTGCAGCAGCCGACAGCCGTCCTTGGCCAGCCGCTGAACGGCCTCCAGCCCCAGCCGGCTGGTCAGATCCTCGCGGCCGCACACCGTCCCCATTCCTCCACCCTTTCCTCCACCAACGCCGCCGCTGCCCCCGCCATCCCGCAGCGCACACACTCCGCCCAGCTGCAACACAGGTGGTAAAAAAACATATCTCAACCCGCAGTCCCAGGACATGCTGGAGACAGTCAACAAAAGTTTGTTTGATGGAGTTCAAGAAGGTTCAGTGGTTTTGTCCAAGCAGTTTGGGTGTAATCCAGAAACATGCAATGACAAGTTCTCAGCTGGCCCTTTATGTCCATGTGCGGAGAATGAGATGAAATGGTAATCCTGGGTCTCTCTAATTCTTCCTCGTTGCTTTTTCTTTCTATCAAATACAGTCGGTAATTCCCTTTATCTGTTGAAATTCTCTCTTTGTCTGAGTCTGACTGCTCTGTGTCAGACGATCTGCTGGAGAGAGAGTGGTAGTCTGTGATTAGTAGTAAGTGGGCGGGTGTGTGCGTCTGTGTGGGAAGAGTGTGTGCTGGTGGGGGTGAGTGTGTGTGTGCGTGTGCGTGTGCGTGTGCGTGTGTGTGTGTGGGTGTGTGTGTGTGTGTGTGTGTGTGTGTGTGTGTGTGTGTGTGTGTGTGTGTGTGTGTGTGTGTGTGTGTGGTGTCTATAGTTTGTACTTAAGGTAAAATAGAAAGTGTGTAAATGTGAATATCTAAGAGTGATATAGAAGAAACAGTATTAGATTTAATAAAAAAGCTGAATAAACCAATGGCTTTGTCCTCAGATAGACCTGATGACAGGAGAAATTACTATGTGCTTGTACATTTGTGTTTGTATGCTCCCTAAGGTGCTGCTAAAATGATGGTTATCACTGGTCTGGTCTGTTTATTTTCCTTGGAAAAGGAAAAGAGAGGTATTTCATTTGGCGCCGAGCTGGTTAACCCTTCCTGTGAGCTAAACTATCCCACAGTGCCATGCTTTAGCAGAGGGTGAAACACCCACACCCATACACACACACACACAAACACAAAACATGATAGCATATTCCCACACTTCATTTTGTTTACTAGGAAAACTCTCCCCGGTGACAACTCTTATTTGCTGAAAAAAGCCACGTACACAAACACAGATATTATATCAGAGCCACAGTCCCCCGTCTCCTGCTTCCTGTTAACCTGCTGTCAACTTCCTGTCCTAGACACAGAACTCACCAAGATAAACCTGTCTCTGTCTGTGTGTGTGTTTGTGCTGTCCGGCTGTCTCCGTCCATCTCCTTTTCTCTCCCATTGTGACCTTCATTTTTCTTTGGTCTCTTGTGTTTAAGATCTATGACAATCTATAACGTTGTCGCACTAGTATGTGGTTTATATGTGGTTAACACAAGACAATTATGTCAAATAAACAAAAATAAATACTCCTGTTACCATTACAATCTGCAGAGCTCTCTAACTCCCTCACAGCAGGATGAATCTTATGGCTACTAAGCTCAAACGGTTTGAGAAAAATATCTTATTGTGATTATTTGACTGATATTCCAAGTGTGATACTGGAGGAAATTATCATTTTGGCTTCACTTATATTGACAAATATATAAATGGTCGGATTTTTTGTGAGGATCCGTTTCTTTTAGGTCCGTAAAATACGATAAGTCGGCCCGGTCATATCCGCTCTATACTTTGCCTGTAACAAATATAGCTTGATGACCACTGGGGTCAAAGCAATACAACAAATCTAAGTTTATCTTTAAATAAAACATTGTGCAAGACTTCTAACCTTTAATAACATTAAATATATTTAAATGAGGGGATAATTACTCTTTAATCATAAACATATGCAACCTTTTACAGAGGGGTTGCAAAAAGCCATTTCTTTGTGTTAAGGGGTCATAAGCCAAACACTTATGAGCCATTGATTAGACTCACAGTAGTATTCAGTGTCTCCTATGTTACAGGGTGTTAGAGCATACATGTATTACATTACTTAACAACAGCCCCTAAGGGTCGTTTTAATTTTGAAGCAGTTAATAGTCGCGTGTAAAGGTCACAGTGAGTGCTCTGCATATATTGAATTTCATTGTTAAACTTTGTTGTGAAACATCCCGTGTTAATTGGTTACAGGCGATGTTGTCACGACTTAATTAACTGGTGGGAAAACATCCTCACCATGGCATGCATGCATATATAGTACTGTGTATGTATTTGTGTTTTAAAAAGATTCCTTTTTTCCCTGCTCTCACCCTTTCTCCTCATCTCTGGTGTTATCTGATGATGAATAATTGATGTAGAAAAAGAGGTTTCCACTGTAAAGAGATGGCACCAGAAAGCAAACATGCCTTCCTCTGCACTCTGTTGTGACCCCATTTCTACCTTCAGCCACTTCATGGAGGCACACACACAACAAACAGCTTTTTAAATGAGAGAAGGCTAGCCAATAAAGATTACTACTTACAATGGACGTCCCAAGCGGGGCTGTATTGGTAATATAGTGTCAGTATTTGATAGTATTTTTCATATTGCGCCTGGTCATTTCCGAATCTTTTTTTAATGGCAAGCCAATTTCTGTGACGACAGCTGTCAAAAAGCTTTACTGTGCCCTTTTATTCACACTGAATCCTCTCCCAAGAGAACAGTACTTCATAGGCAGGCAAAGTTTAAGGCAGCATGCACAAATAAATAGCATGCAGTTTAATCAAATAAAGATATTCACAATGACATCATGTCTTTGCCACCACACAGGTTGAACCTATAGGTGCTTTGCATGCGCTACAGCAACATTTTATAGGTGAACCAAACCTCTTCTCGCTGTGCCAGGAGTGGTTGTCTTTCTGGCTAAACGGTTTTAAACATTATTATCTCCACTGATATAAAATCCAACTTTAAATGTTATGTAATACTTCAAATTGTAGTGAACTCTTGATTTTTTTTCTATACCAAACTGGATTGGCTTTACGAACTCTTTTGTAAGCCTACTTTAAGATGATTGTGCACTGACCAGATAACTGAGGGAAAATATAAATATTGGATTGAAAATTAATTTAAGGATTAGGATTGGGGGCAATGACAGGGACATTGTCTAGTATAAGTAGGAGTGTGTGTGTGTGTGTGTGTGTGTGTGTGTGTGTGTGTGTGTGTGTGTGTGTGTGTGTGTGTGTGTGTGTGTGTGTGTGTGTGTGTGTGTGTGTATGTATGTGTGTGTGTGTGTGTGTGCGTGCGTTACCGGGCTGCTCTCCTCGCTGGGTGTGCGAGGCTCATGTTGGCTCGTCTCTGTCGTCTCAGAGTCCTGCTCTGATACTGCAACCCACCCAAAGCAGAATCAAGTCATTTATGACAGATCTTCACACACTCATTATGTAACATTGTGTGAGTCATCCATGTCCTCATGATGCAGAAAGGAAAACACATTGAGGCTATGTTTGTGTGGTTTATGTTTACATTTTCTGATTAGTTTCTTTAATTGTTCCATCTGTTATTGATTATTCATTATTAAACATGGATATGCATAGAAAACATTCACAAATAATATACGATTTAGGCTAGATTTCGCTATTAGCTGATTCCTACTTAATATTACATTCTTTATAACAATTATAAAGACAGATCAAATCAAGGATTAAGTCATTTCAATAAAAAATCTTGATCAAGCTCATATTAATGCTGACAAGACGACTGGTTGCTCATTATATATTTATCTATCTAAGATGTATGTATACTTACAAGCTTTACGAGTCTTTCGGGCAAGAGCAGCTGCCAGCTCACATTGTACCTGTTGAAGAAACGGTGTCAAGACAATACGCAAAAATAAAAATATATAAATGATTGATGAAAACATTGGTAATGAGGCAGCAATAGGATACTGTATTTATTGATTTTCAGTCGCACTGACCGTAGAAGTGAGCCTCTCAAGAGCTTTCATCTGGAGAATCTCACTGCAGATGTCCCTGTTGCCTTCAGAGTCCTCCTCTGACCTTGGATATACACAAACACACACAGCTTTACTTATAACTGACATGTGCAATATTGTGATCAAATGCTCTCCAGAGAAATGGTATTCCTGCAGGGTTTTGATCTACGCTGCCCCCTGGTAAACCTAGAGAAGAACTACAGCCTGCAGACACATCTACTGGATGTTCCCGCCTGTGGACGGTAACACAATAAACACTAGTATATTTGAGTGAGAATATTTTCTGTGTGTTAATATTTTCTTTTGGCGAGTGGTATCTGTTCTATTTTTCCTCCCATCTGTCTTTCTATTTCTTTACTGCTCACATGTGTCTGTATGCAGCATCTCTCTCTGCACCCCCCTTCCGTCTTTAATGTGCTTTCATTTAAAATAGCTTGCAGGCACAGCCTCCTATTGATGTTAGAGAGGCTGAGTGTGTGTGTGTGTGTGTGTGTGTGTGTGTGTGTGTGTGTGTGTGTGTGTGTGTGTGTGTGTGTGTGTGTGTGTGTGTGTGTGTGTGTGTGTGTGTGCATGCATTCAGAATATATATGGACGTGTAACTTGTTTTGAGGATATTTTTTCAAGCCCGAGTGCATCTGTAATTACATTTGTGTAGGAGTTACATTTGTGTGTGTTTGTGTGTGTGCGGTATAAACCGGTGGTTGTTTTGGGGTAAACTGTGTGTTATTCCCACAGCAATAATACATGGTTGTAGAGTTTGTCTTCGATAGCGTCAGACTGCACCCGAGGGCCCCTCCCCTAATATGTTCTCTTACAAAACCACTGTTTGGATTGGTCTCCCACACACTGCCTCACCCCCGCACTACACACACAAAGACTGATTTGCATACAATTTGGATTTTAGCAACAGATCCCAGTGGTACGAGTAATACTTGTGAAGGGAAGAAGATGAAGCACTGTGTCACTGTGTGTTGTAATCTGATAAGGGCACGATAGAGGCAAAGCGGGGGAGATGGTGATAACATGTAGCGCACAGCCTGACACTTCAGCTATCGGCTCTGACACAGACAGAGAGAGACGAGCCAGGTAGACCAACAGATGCCTTAAAGGAGTGTGGAATTATCATATTTTTACTGTCATAATAAAAGCTGCTTGTGCTTTCCTTTCAGTATCTGTGTTCGGAATAAATCCACTCTTTAAAATAAGATTACTGATGATTAAAAATCTCACAGAGCTGGATGAACAAAGGCAAATGATCAAGTTGTCAATGCGATTAAATATGGAGGATTTTAATCTTTTGTGAGGATCATGAGATGTATCTATTCTGAGTCACCATGCTAAATGTATTCTCATCATGGAGGGTCATTAGGGTTTTTAGCAGCCGTTCATTTGGCAAGTTGGTGACTCACCATGAGGCTGAATGTATCTGTGCTGGAGGACAGGCACAGTGGGAGCTGTGTCACCAATCATTAAGCAGCACAGAACAGTTTTCAAACAGTATTGATAGAGGATTAACATGATCGCTGCTTGCAATGTCTCCCTTTTTATTCAAAGTCAAAGTTGGAGTCATGTTGATATACAAAATTAAAAGCGTGCAAATTGTTATTGTGAACAATGTGTCAACGTACTTTAATCTGATGCAATCTAACAGAGATAAAAGCCTGTGCCATAATGCAGATTGTGGTTGATGTTATCTCTGTCGAAACCCATGACTGTGTGGCTCTGTTTCTTCAGCCCTCTGCAGAATCTGTTTGGCTTGTTGCCCTCTTTGGACCAAAGCGCCATGCAAAGCAAGCAAGTGTGTTTTCTCATCCTAAGCTAAGGTATCATATTTAAGCTTGTGGCAATTCTCCACTTCCTACTCAATGATATGCAGAAATACCTTGATTTTTTTAAATGCATAAAACTGGAAAACTAAAATGAAAATGCGCATAGATAAAATGCTGTATTTTATATACATTGAGGAGGCATTAATGAAGGGACAAAGATAGAAGATAATGTGAACATAAAGCCTTAAAATGTTTTTGGTGCAAGTCTATTGTATAGCATTACATTACTGTGCCCCTCCCCTCTGTTTTGTGTCTATACAGAAGTTCTGTGCAACTGATACTGTACTAAAGTACCCTTTTTCACTGTGCTAGATGCAGTGATTTTCATTCATTTGAGTCCATCAGTTCACGCTTTGACAATCAAAACGACATGGACTAAACTTTAAAATGAACAAATGTGAGCAGGACATATTTTCATAGTTAAACTTTAATCACCTCTCCTTATAAAGCTCTTTTAAAAAGCACTATATATGCAAGTTCAGACCTTAAGTGTTATTTGAGCCACAGAGGAAGACAGAGATGAGACAGTGAGAGAGGTTCTTGCCAATAAAGCTCATTAAATAGAAACAGAATTGAATGCAGATGGGGACATAATGAGAGAGGAGGGACCTGTTATTTTGTAGAGTAAATAAGACTGTCATTAATATAACAGTACCTTTTTAAGAATAAGACGACTGAAACCATGAGATTCTTGTTTCCTTTCCCACAAAACAGCAATTATTTGTAGAAAGCCTCACGGTGTACAATGAACTAATCATATTTAATGACCACATTGTGCCTGGTAGCAGTTTGTTCAGACACCGCGATCCAATTGGAAACGCTGGAAGTGTTGAGACAAAGAGAAACATCTTCTACACATGATGCAGAGGAGATAACACATTTAATTAGTAGCATATTTTTCTCAGGCTTCACCAAGGAAATAAAATCACTAGCAGGAGGCCAAACAGTCAGCTGATGGTACTCCATATTCAGGCAACAAGTTATCAGTATCAATGTAATGATTGCCTCATTAGATTAAACTTCAGCAAGAGATAGGTTGCCATAATTCATGAGGAGCGCTAGCATCAGTTACACACGGCTGCATTTCAAATCTTGCTGCAGCAGCTCAAAAAGTGCAATTCTCTAATTTGGTAAAAATACGCATGCTAGTTTTGCTGTAGATAAACTTACGATAAAAAACAGTTCCAATCTGACATTAGTGGTTTTTGGATAAAGACTTTTTTTTAGATAAGAAGCACTCAAACTAGAACGGATACACAATATCTGACGTACAATTATTGCTTTAGAGATTATATACTTTTGGCGTTTTCCTCTGGCAGCTACAACCATTCTCCTTGACACCAACAACAGAGCGGTAGACAGAGAGGAAGGGAGGGTGTGAGACGAGAGGATGCCTGCAGAGAACTGTCGCGCCAGTCAAAGAGAGGCTCCGACAGCAGTGGGGTCAAAGTGACAGACAGAGGGAACGTGTTGAATGCATAATCTCATCTGTGTCTAATACGCCCAAAAATTTAACCGCAGTTTTTTTAGATGTTTTTAGAAGAAACTCACAAAATATGTGGATAATATGAATATGATTAAGAATACATTTAAAACACGACATGATAAAAACATGCAGTCATGTCTTTAAACTTTTTGCAGGCAAATCAGAGAGGATTCCAGGTGAAACCAGCCAGGGAGAAAAAACAACTAAAATATTATTGGTTAAATTAGTGAAAAACGGGGTAGAAACCTGTTAATAAGCACTAATTTCTCTGTACACTACCAACCTGTGGAAACCATGTGTCGTGGAGTGACCCTAAGTATGCACGTCATCTATCATGATGTATGGAAAGTAACACAGAGGTACATAAAGTATGTTACATGACAATTATATCAGTAAGTATGACATTCAATTCCCCTCGCCGTCGTGCTCTCTCCCTGGTGTCTGCAAATACTCCCTTTGAAGTTGACACACAGATGAATGTGTTGACGTGTGCTCTTGTTCCCTCGCTCTCAATATATACTCCATTTTGTTTACATTCCCCGTCTCACCCTCTTTCTTTCTCTGAGTGACAGATTGAGTTCAGTGGTATCCTCAGCAGGAATCCCACATACAGGAGCAGGAAAGCCGGGATCTCTGGCTGACACCACTCTGCGCGCGTGCGTGTTCATCATGTTTCAGTTTTTTGTGCATTAGTGTATTTTTTCTATAGATGTTAAGGTGTGTGTGTGTGTCTGTCCCTCACATAAACAGACTGAGGATTTAAAACCTAGAGATTAGGGCTCTAGCTAGGATTTGGGAAAGATCTTTGGAGAGGGTGTGTGTGTGAGTTTATAATGTACTGCAAAACTTGTGCCCGTGCACGTTTCCACCAAATCAAACAAACTGACTTGTCATCAGACAGACAAATGACCTTAATCATACTGTAAATCTAAGCGGGAACACTGTCACTTCGACTTTGATATTCAACCAGAGCGCCGAGCTTCCATTTCAGGTCAACGGAGATCATCCAGTAAATTACTACTGAGTCACATTTAAAGTTTTACCAACTATCCTCAACAATTTAACACGTTCGCTCTAATGACAAAAACCTAACAACATGCCATTATGAAAGATAAATATGACCTATATTATCAGTCCATAGGATTATCCATTAAAGCTGCGATTTCTTTATTTTATTCGAACAACCAGAAAAAAACTTAGGAAAATGCTCAATAAATGATGTAATGATGTTTCTGAATACCAAATATAGTGTCTAATGGGGCGACAGGCTTTGATTTTTAGTGGAGAGGAGGGTGTTCAAAAACTGCAGTGTTGTTCTCTGTCTTAGCACAAAACAGAAGAAACTACATACAATTTGTAAACAGGCTGCATAAAAGTAATAGAAGCCATGCAAACATTTCCGACTAATCCCTGCGCATGTTCGGCTAAGTGTAGCGAGGAGAGGCATGTATCGGCTCTGTCCCCAAAGACACATTTACTTTCTTTAAAAGAACAATCAAATGTTACCTTTTAGCAAGTGAAGCAAACCGTGTCAAGTTGAGATAAAAGTGTTTATTCAAACTAGATAAAAAAAAAGAAAAGGGAACCCCCTACTGCCCATCCATCGCAGCGTTACTTGCAATAAGATTTTAATGGACACTTACGGGCTGTTGGCCCCGCCTCCAGAGCGAAACTGGACGTACGGGGCGAGTTGTAGGAGGAGCCTAACCGCCTCGGACCACTCCCCTTCATTGCGGCGAAAGTCACAGGAGGCGGAGTCACACTCCTCAAAGCTGAACTGGTAGTAAGAGTTTGAGTCTGAAAACACCACCCGCTGGTCCACTGGAGAAGGAAAGGACACAGAAAAAAGGGATTTTATTAAAGTTTTCTTATTTTCCCTTTTTCACAGTAATAGTGTGCCAAAATGTAACAAACTCTGTCTATTTGTACAATAATAGCTATAATTGAACCTAATGAAGGTATACAGTATATGATTACAGTGTAATCAAAGGGTTAGGCGCTGCTTTGTTCAGGAGCCCATGAGCTGGCAATCACTGCTATAGAAAGGAAGGCGAATGATGCACAGTTGTGTTATTTGGAAGAATGTTCACAGATGTATAGAGTTAATCAAGAACTAAGTATATATAATTTACGTTAAAATCAAATGGCTTGTAAGGTCAGCATTAACAGGACGGAACATTGTTCTTTGAAATATAGAAATGGGCATGCTGATTACAGCCGTTAAAACAGGGTCAAATGTGTTTCAATGTGAGTCAAAACATAAAGATTGGAGACAGAACAAGCATTGCTTCGTACATTATTAAATGTATATCGATGCACTAAATTCAGAGCCTCAATCATTGTTGACAGTTTATAGCAGTATAGTTTTTATGGAATAAAAACCTAAATAAACTCTTCAGATACGCTGGATTACCCAGACAGATGAACTAAGTACTAATGTTCCAAAGCAAGTAGCCTCAAGATGATTAGGTTTGCTCATTCTTAAAAAACAAATGCATTGCTTTTCAATATTATACCTTCTCTACGATGATGTGTTATGCATATCATACTAAGTGTAGATTCATCATAACACAGGGTTTTTACTTATTCTTTATTATCACAAATAATGATAGATTCAGCTTCTCAGAGGGTTGAGTGTGAAGTATAATGTTAGTTGTCTTTGGTACATATGAAATGGGATGTGTGGGTAGTTCAGAAGGATTTAAATAAACATAAGTAAAGAGATATTACCTTGTAAGAAGTGAAACAGGTGAAGGAAGAAGCTAATTCATCTCTATTCTGTTAGTAATTAACTGGTGAACTAGCTCATCTTTTGGCTTTTTAGCACAGGTCTCACTGGAAGGTGACTATAAATCTTGATGCACACTCAACCTTCAGGCATGGTGGTGTGTGGTTGTGTGTGTGTATTTACCAGACAGCAGGACTCCCAGCTCCAGCAGCACCTGCCAGACACGCACAGCAGTAGTCCGACAGCGCACATACACACACTGCTCACACAGCCACTGCACCAGCTCCACACCCACGTAGCTACGCCTGTAAAAATACATACACAAGTGCAACCACACAGGGTTACGATACACATGCACACTCTCCTTACCTCTGCACAAGGCTTTTTTTATTTAATCAATATTCATCGATTATTCATTAGTTCTCCGTAAGCCTTTTTCCTCTGCTTTCCCCCAGGATAAACTCCCTGTGTGTGTATGTTTGTATCCACGATGAGGGATAAGAGCTCTTATTTATATTTGTGTCCAGATGTTCACATGGTCCTCGCATGAGTCTGTATTCATTGTATATTGCATGAGAGCGATTGTATTCCCTTTCCGTCCTGTGCTCTGCTATATCATGTCTACGTCACATTTTCCTCGCCTTACTGCATAAACAACTAAACTGGCCAATCAGGACAGGGCTCAACAGTGACTGGTGAGTCAGTGCACATGCTTCACCAGACACATCGATTCATCCTGCACACAGACAGACACACAAACTCAGAGACAAGTGTACCGTATGATTCTGGCAAGGTGTATCTTGTCTTTAGCCGGGTACGGTCCATGAGAGAGGAAGGCATTCCTCACAGCCCGACCAGCGCATGGAAAACTCTGGGAACAAGACTGACACACAGAGAGCTACATTCAATTTACATTTAACACTGTCATTTTAAAATCTGAACACAGAAAACATATCTCAACAGTGTTTTGGACATTGATTCCAGAGCTAGAGAAGCTACATGCTGTCATTGACGGCCTCACAAGGACAACTCGATGTCTTCGTCCCCGAGGAGTGAAACATTGACTTTGCCTACACGCTCTGCAATAATCCTGCTATTGACACTATGTTAAATAAGACTGTATTTCAATTAAACTGTTTACAGGCATGCTTGTTCTGCGTTATTAATATTCACATTTACATGCGACAGAGCAGAGGTTGCTTCATGAGGAACATAACAGACTCTCATTGAAGCTGATTATGTAAAGTCTTTATAACGTTTATAGAGGGCTGGTCAAGCATGCGTTAGATAGTTGGTCCCATGTGTTAAAAATGGCACTGTGAATTGTAGACCACTAGTTGCGCTATGTCTAAATTGTCACAATCATTGTCACCAGTAATGTGTGTGTGTGTGTGTGTGTGTGTGTGTGTGTGTGTGTGTGTGTGTGTGTGTGTGTGTGTGTGTGTGTGTGTGTGTGTGTGTGTGTGGTGAAACTAGCTTGGAAAACAGCCCAAGATAATACAATCACTGATGTCACCTGTATAGAGGCTAAACAAACACACGCACTTGCACTTCACAGCAAAACTAAAGGGATGACATCACCTGTGTGTGTGTGTGTGTGTGTGTGTGTGTGTGTGTGTGTGTGTGTGTGTGTGTGTGTGTGTGTATGTGTGTATGTGTGTATGTGTATGTGTATGTGTGTGTGTGTGTGTGTGTGTGTGTGTCCTTACCTTGTTAACTGTTGGTCCAGTACTTGGTCCGGGTATCGTGTCAGGTGATTGCTGTTGAAACACAATACATAAAGCCATCAGAGCCAACACAGAAAGAAGCGCGCACACACACACACACATGCACACACAGTAAATACACTTCACAAACAGCGAGATAAGAAAGGCAAGTTTGACCATTCCCCAAACATTAGTCAAGTTTTGTTCAAACTGACAGCAGTAACAAACATTGTGCATAAATTCATACAATACCCCAACACAATTTGCCAAACTTATATAATGTGGCCACTTATTTTGACTTATTAAGTGTACAAAATGGTTAAACAGAGACAGAGATAGTTAAACAGAGACAGAGTTAGTGACCTATGCACTCACTTTGTTTTTACCAGTAAAAACAACATTTAAATTCCTCAACAGTAAAATGCAATTGCCAGTGTAAGTGTCACAATATAACAACTGACAGCTTAATAAATCCTTTCTACCATCACGCCATCACGTTGAAGCCTTTTCCCTGGGCGTGTCGACTCCAACTCTACTTCCTCTACCAGGAAATAAACTCTTAATCTTTGTGGATTATTATGGTGCCAGAGGAGCTAAATGGAGGTGTTGACACTGCGGTTATAAAACAGATTAAATATGAGTGAGTGTTACAGGAGATCAAGTAGAGCGGAAAAAGGCACTACATGCAGACATCTGTTTCTGTATTTCACAGCAGTGTTATACGTTGTGATGCAATTTAGTAAAACCATGTCTGTGATTCTCTGCACCTGAATTCAAAGCTTGCTTTAAATGCTTTAAGTAAATGTGTTTTGTTATGGTTTTACAACACTGAATCATGCTTTGTGACACTGATCAACAGGCCAAGAGGTATTTCATATGAAAAGGTTGAAATTCAAAAATATCTTCATTGTCACTCCCCTGACATGGCAGTACAGATCAACTATGAAGATTCTGTTACTTCTTTAACTATTTTTCGCATAAAATCTATACAGAAACATATATTGGTGTACTGCTGAGCTGTAGAATGAGATAGTGTGTGACCCAGAAGTAAAAACAATTGTCTAGCCAAAACTCAACAACCATCCACCGGACAGAGCAAACTTAAAGGTGGGGTAGGTAATTTTGGAGAAACCAGCTCGGGTGCGCTAGAATTTGAAAATACACAGCCGGAAAAAATCTGGCACTTCCTCACAGAGCCCCTCCTCCAACACACACGAACGCGCACATGACCAATGAGGGCACGAAATAAGTTTGTGCACAGATGGAAGGCTGACAGGCAGGTAGGCCATCCAGTTACTTTAGCCGGGCCGGCTAAAATGATTGGTCGTGCTTTTTACAGCGCCACGGCTTCCACAGATGACATTTTTTATGGATTTTTTGTCAAAGCACTTCAGATATTCATCGCTATCGGGATGTTAAGAGCATTCCATGGAATATAACAAACCGTGTATCTCGAGCCGGTTTCTCAAACTTACCTACCCCACCTTTAAGAACAAATCTGTAAAAAGTGTGTATAAAGAACTATTGGGGAAAAAATACCAGTGCATTTTCAAAGCAGTGAACAAGAGATTTGGAGAAAAGTACACTACAGAAATCCTGCTTTAGTGTCCATAAAAAAGTTGTCTGAGATAATGAAGAAACAAGTATAAACCAAAGTAGAAGACGTTCTACTTTGGTTTGATCATTTTATATGAAATGCATATTGGTCATGGCAGTGTCATGCAGAGGGCATGCTTTTATGCAGCAGGCCTTTGAACGCTTTGAAGATAAAGGCCTTTTCCCCCAGCAGGATATATTTTGTCGATGTTAATAAAGCAATTGCCTTTGTACACAGTCTTGCAAGTATACAGCATTATTATCAGCGGATATGGTGCAAGAAAAACAAATCAGATTAGTCTTTGAAACCACCATGGCAGCGCATCACTGATAAAATACGAACTGGATTAGGATGACGATCACGTTGCCAGCGTTCATTAAAGTCAGCACGAGAGTCTCCTGCAATAGGCGTGTAACTGCTCTGTGAGCTCAGTCAGGGAAAAGGGATCAGTGATAGAGTCGTGGGTTTGATTCCCTCTGGAAATTGCTGCTGCCCTTCGCCTGATGATGAAGAATGGGAAGACACAGAGAGATCAGATGCTTGAACAAATGAAATGCAACGAAGCCACTGTGGAAGATGGATGTGGAGGAGGAAATATAAATGTGCTAGTGTGCAAGAGGATAGGAAGAGAGGGAGGCAGAACAAATCACAACAGAATATATGAGGGGGATATGAAGATGACAGATTGAGCGGGAGAGCGATGGGGGGGGGGGGGGGGGGGGGGGGGGGGTGAGAGGCAGAGATCGTTTTAATTGTGATCGTAAAAGAGAGAAAAGGTGAGTTAGACAAAGATAGAGAGCGAGAGGAATGCACGTCGGTGGCTTTGAGTTGAAAGAAAATGAAATAAATGATTACAGAAATGTAGAGCGGTGTGTGATCTCATTAGAGCGATGATAGTGTCCACGATATCGCACACACACACAAGCGAGGACACACACATGATCACAGCTCACCTACAGTACAGTATGCTTCATCATACAGTTGAACCGAATGAAGGTATACAGTATATGATTACAGTGTAATCAAAGGGTTAGGCGCTGCTTTGTTCAGGAGCCCATGAGCTGGCAATCACTGCTATAGAAAGGAAGGCGAATGATGCACAGTTGTGTTATTTGGAAGAATGTTCACAGATGTATAGAGTTAATCAAGAACTAAGTATATATCATTTACGTTAAAATCAAATGGCTTGTAAGGTCAGCATTAACAGGACGGAACATTGTTCTTTGAAATATAGAAATGGGCATGCTGATTACAGCCGTTAAAACAGGGTCAAATATGTTTCAATGTGAGTCAAAACATAAAGATTGGAGACAGAACAAGCATTGCTTCGTACATTATTAAATGTATATCGATGCACTAAATTCAGAGCCTCAATCATTGTTGACAGTTTATAGCAGTATAGTTTTTATGGAATAAAAACCTAAATAAACTCTTCAGATACGCTGGATTACCCAGACAGATGAACTAAGTACTAATGTTCCAAAGCAAGTAGCCTCAAGATGATTAGGTTTGCTCATTCTTAAAAAACAAATGCATTGCTTTTCAATATTATACCTTCTCTACGATGATGTGTTATGCATATCATACTAAGTGTAGATTCATCATAACACAAGGTTTTTACTTATTCTTTATTATCACAAATAATGATAGATTCAGCTTCTCAGAGGGTTGAGTGTGAAGTATAATGTTAGTTGTCTTTGGTAAATATTGAAATGGGATGTGTGGGTAGTTCAGAAGGATTTAAATAAACATAAGTAAAGAGATATTACCTTGTAAGAAGTGAAACAGGTGAAGGAAGAAGCTAATTCATCTCTATTCTGTTAGTAATTAACTGGTGAACTAGCTCATCTTTTGGCTTTTTAGCACAGGTCTCACTTGGAAGGTGACTATAAATCTTGATGCACACTCAACCTTCAGGCATTTATTTATACCACTGTCTAAACCACATGTGTGAAACTCAAGGCCCGGGGCCCAAACATTGATGAACTTGCATCTGCCAAGTATCTGACTTGAACTAGCATCACTGAGCAGCACACTGAGTTTCAATGGACGTTTCCTTCTGCACTTTTTCTCTCACGACAACAGGGCATGTTTGGTTTTTTCTTTGAGGGAAATAGTTTTGTTGAAGCTGTTGTTGGCCTGTGGAAAAATGTAATCATAAGAAATGACTCAGGAAAAGCTGCAGATAGAGCCATAAGAAATTAATGCAACTGATTATTTAATGTTTAATGTTGTTTTTATAGGCAATCATTTAAGCTTTGTTAGTTCCAGGTTTATTCTGTGCAATAAGTTCATTTCAATAAGTTTTGCAATAAACATTGAACCAGTCCGGCCTTCGACTAGTGCCCATTTTCTTATTTTGGCCCACTGTGTATTTGAGTTTGACACCCCTGGTCTAAACTGTACACATCAGACCCATAGAGAGGCGAAGTCCCTCCCCTTCCGGGAGCCTCCATGGGACCCCGGAAGCGGAAAATTATACATTGAAGTCAATGGAGAGAGAAAGGTTATCTTTTGATCCCGTTTGAATTGTGCCACGAATGACACATATGATGTTTGTCAATTTAAAAGAACATTTTACAAGTCAAAAAAATAAAAATGTGTCGTAAAACTGTGAAATTAAACATTTTTTTGTGTGAAACCGCTCAGTGAACTACAGGTCTCTGGTCTCGCACAAAACGCGTCACCATCACAAAGACGGCCGTCACGTTAGCAAATTTCACCCGTTTCTTTCAGAATGAGGCGAAAAGTATAAAACGAGGTGAACATCACTACAAGTCTGGGCATGTTGAGAGCTGTACATACACGAAAGGGGAGTTAGTCGGTTCTGTAAGAGCAGCGGGACCGGCTTTACAAGGTTTCGGTGAGTAATATGAGTGAAATGTGTAACGTTAATGTCAGCTAACTAACATTAGCTAACAAGGTACACTAACGTGTTTTGTTTTAGTAACTAGTTTTCTCCTTAAGAAATTCGTGGTCTCTGTGTATGCTGTGGATAACATTAGTGTTCACAAGAACAAGGTACACTCCCGTGTTTTGTTTTAGTTGCTCTTCAGATTGAAGTGGCCAGTTTTATATCGATTATACTGTATGTGTGATCTCCTTTTTCTCGTTGTGTCATTTGACTTTATTTGCTGTGTGTTGATTCAAGGATTTTGGTTATCTAGGCACAGCTGTGTGTGACTCCCTCTGGTACACCGGTATGTGTTTTCCTAATGTAGAGAGCATTGATTAATTAATAAACTACACACTGAGTCTAGATCCTGACCAAATCCTTTTTTATTGTTGATCAAATGTTTTTCAAAAATGTATTCATACACATTTAGAAAAATACAATGTACAATCACAACCAATACAACACAAATTACAAAAAATACAGAAAAAACAAACAATAACAACAATCAGACAAGAGGACAAAACTATGGACAAATAAACCTTCCCACCCCCAGATCCGGAC